CACTGTAGCTATGGTGGACCGGGTTCAAATTGATGAAATGAAGTGGATGGGAGCAGTTTGAAGTCCCTTTAGAAAGTAAATTTGATCATGAGAAGCAACATATCGTTGTGCTTAAAGAAGACAGTTTAACAGTCAAGTCGAGTCTATGAATTTTTGTTTAACACGTGACGCCTTCCTGACACAAATCTGCCACTTGTACGTGACCAGGTCAGACAAATGGATCGGAATCATGGACATTGACAAATTGAACAAAATATGAAAGGAACACGAAAAAGCATGAAGCATGCAGAGGTACATGCTCGTAATTACACCTCAAAGACAGTAACAAAAAAAGCGTAGATCATGAAACAAACTCAAATCAGAAAACATCACATTGACTTTTTATTTAAAGCTTACGTGACTGCAGGGATTCATATTCTTGGTTCTTTCGGTAAAGTCACGTAGAAGGGAAACAATAAAATAATAAAAATATAAAACAATAAAATTCTCACGACGTTTCGACTGCAACACAAGCAATCTGTGGTTTTCACACCTGATGATGAATATCACATTGACTGTTAAGGATAAGTGATTGGGCTTGGTTAGGATACGGCAAGAAAGGATGATAAGCACTGGTCGAGAATTGATTGGTGCACTAATGAGCTGTGCATGGTAGGCTACAGAGTTGTGCATTCAAATCGCATAGATCAGTCTAGCACAAGGAAATCTGAGATGCGTTTGTCAACACGCAAAGATATAAGACACTATCCCCCAACAATTGTAATACAGTACACATATAGTACACATCGTTTAAATGCGTTTTGTGCGCTCACAATTCTCAAGCTATTTTTTAAAATATTTTTATTGTTTTATATTTTTATTATTTTATTGTTTCCCTTCTACGTTACTTTACCGAAAGAGCCAAGAATATGAATCCCTGCAGTCACGAAAGCTTTAAATCAAAATTCTCAAGGTGTTTACTTGTCTTTTGTATGAAAGTTGAAAAACGCGTGTTCTAGGATGCCTCTTCATCCACTGCTTTGCCTGTGCTCTCTCTTGTTGTCATGTGACATTTATTTTTACCAACAAACTAAATCAATTGTTCAATTCCGTCAGAAAATGTTTTTAGCCTTAATATATCTCATCAACCTCAGCCCTTTATCATGATGGTGACTTGGATTAAACTGTGCAGTACAATTTATAAATGTTATCGAATTGTAAATATAACATTTAGTTAATTGTGCTTAAGAGTTGAAGTGTTCATTAAATGTGTTTGGTGTTAATTATGTGTGCATGTAGTAATTGAGCATTCATGAATGACTTATTTCAAGCATGCAGGGAATGCCCCATAACGAGAAAGTCCTTTCCCCAAATGAGTCCGGCTTCAAGGGGTTTTACCGTACGCCCACTTCTCAACTACAGTGAGGGATAAAAGTATTTGATCCCCTGCTGATTTTGTACGTTTGCCCACTGACAAAGAAATGATCAGTCTATAATTATAATGGTAGGTTTATTTCAACAGTGAGAGACAGAATAACAACAACAAAATCCAGAAAAACACATGTCAAAAATGATATAAATTGATTTGCATTTTAATGAGGTAAATCAGTATTTAACCCCTCTGCAAAACATGACTTAGTACTTGGTGGCAAAACCCTTGTTGGCAATCACAGAGGTCAGACGTTTCTTGTAGTTGTCCACCAGGTTTGCACACATCTCAGGAGGGATTTTGTCCCACTCCTCTTTGCAGATCTTCTCCAAGTCATTAAGGTTTCGAGGCTGACGTTTGGCAACTCGAACCTTCAGCTCCCTCCACAGATTTTCTATGGGATTAAGGTCTGGAGACTGGCTAGGCCACGCCAGGACCTTTATGTGCTTCTTCTTGAGCCACTCCTTTGTTGCCTTGGCCGTGTATTTTGGGTAATTGTCATGCTGGATTACCCATCCACGACCCATTTTCAATGCCCTGGCTGAGGGAAGGAGGTTCTCACCCAAGATTTGACAGTACATGGCCCCGTACATCGTCCCTTTGATGCGGTGAAGTTGTCCTGTCCCCTTAGCAGAAAAACACCCTCAAAGCATAATGTTTCCACCTCCATGTTTGACAGTGGGGATGGTGTTCTTGGGGTCATAGGCAGCATTCCACCTCCTCCAAACACGGCGAGTTGAGTTGATGCCAAAGAGCTCGATTTTGGTCTCATCTGACCACAACACTTTCACCCAGTTGTCCTCTGAATCATTCAGATGTTCATTGGCAAACTACAGACAGCATGTATATGTGCTTTCTTAAGCAGGGGGACCTTGCGGGCGCTGCAGGATTTCAGTCCTTCATGGCGTAGTGTATTGCCAATTGTTTTCTTGGTGACTATTGTCCCAGCTGCCTTGAGATCATTGACAAGATCCTCCCGTGTAGTTCTGGGCTGATTCCTCACCGTTCTCATGATCATTGCAACTCCACGAGCTGAGATATTGCATGGAGCTCCAGGCCGAGGGAGATTGACAGTTCTTTTGTGTTTCTTCCATTTGCGAATAATCACACCAACTGTTGTCACCTTCTCACCAAGCTGCTTGGCAATGGTCTTGTAGCCCATTCCAGCCTTGTGTAGGTCTACATTCTTGTCCCTGACATCCTTGGAGAGCTCTTTCGTCTTGGCCATGGTGGAGAGTTTGGATCTGATTGATTGTTTCTGTGGACAGGTGTCTTTTATACAGGTAACAAGCTGAGATTAGGAGCACTCCCTTTAAGAGTGTTCTTCTAATCTCTGCTCGTTACCTGTATAAAAGACACCTGGGAGCCAGAAATCTTTCTGATTGAGAGGGGGTCAAAAACTTATTTACCTCATTAAAATGCCAATCAATTTATAACATTTTTGACATGCGTTTTTCTGGATTTTGTTGTTGTTATTCTGTCTCTCACTGTTCAAATAAACCTACCATTAAAATTATAGACTGATCATTTCTTTGTCAGTGGGCAAACATACAAAATCACCAGGGGATCGAATACTTTTTTCCCTCACTGTATGTCTCCAGCGAGCTGGCTGACTTAATGTTGCAAAAGCCATTGATTGTGTGAGATGTTTGGTTTCGAAGCTATTAGTTACATAACCCTTATCTTTGGAGTCACTGATGAGTATTGTTTCCCGTTGACGCATCTAGGGAAATTTCAGCAACTGACCATTATTATATTATGAAAATCTACAAAACGAAGATGCCTAATGGAATGACTGCATTTTGTAACGATGTTTTCATCACGAGGAAGGCAACAATGCACAGACATGGAAAGGGAGGTAGGAAGAAGAGGGTATAATATACAATGGCAAGTCACAGATCCTTAAATAATTCTTATACACAGTCTGGACATACACACAGCAGCAAATCTGGGTTGCTAAAGTGTACATCCTGTGCATAGTTGTCAACCAACAACTAAGACCACGCGTTAATTCACATTGCATGTATACCACGCACTGTGCACATCTTTTATCGGGCTTGCATATTTCTTTCACCCGAGAAAATATGATTTGATATTAGTCAATTGCAACTTAAAACATTTTGCTTGCAGACGTGAAAACCAGAGATATACTGCCAAGTCTAAAATCAGACGTCTCCAATTGCTTAGCACAATTTAGATGCAAGACTTTTGTTGTGCTCATTTATCTGGAGGCCTACTTTTCAGCTTTATGTATTAAATCCTTCTATAATTTCCGGTTTTCTATTATCTACAGTATATCTATATATATTCATATGGGCAGTTATTGAAGATGAACAGGGATTATAGGAATTAAATATACATCCGGACTAGGGGTAGGTTTGGAGTGCTTTTGGAAAACTGAACTGAATCATGAACATAAATATAGTGTTATTTTATTATTTATTATTTCATTCTCATTCTACGTGACTTTACCGAAAGAACCAAAGAAGATAAATATACCAATATGCTGGAAGAGATTATTGTGATGGTCGAGACTAAATAGCTGAGTGATGCCAAAGGAGAGAACGTGTCCACGAAGATGTCCGCAATGGATATGGAGAGATGAAAAAAATGCAAAGATCACCGTTTTGATTTCCCAGTCACCATGGCAGTTTGAACAACCGCTTAATCATGCCACTGCTGGGAAAAGGAACTCCAATAGAAGGCGCTTTAGAGAGCCCACCTAGAGCATATTTGACCTACTCTTCAATGCTGGCCACAATCATAGAAGTGTGGGGGGGGGGGGGGGGTGGCACGTGCCCCCCCAACGATCCGATCGAAATCCCTAATTTTGATCGGATCATTGGGGTTTATTAGTAATAAATTGGCATTTTGCGCCGATCGAAATCCCTAATTTTGATCGGATCATTGGGGTTTATTAGTAATAAATTGGCATTTTGCGACCCCCACTGCCACTGTGTAGCATATTTTTACGTGCCAGGGACTCTATGAGATGATAGGACAATAGTCTGAGTCCATAATTGGCAATAAGTAACGGAAAAGCGGTTATAAGTGACTCACAGAATTGTGCGCAATTGCGTCCACAGTCCACGACTTCCCTGAAGGCATCAACACCTTCAGCGAGCGCGATGCCGATCACAACGCGGTTCGAATTCGACCCTCGATCGATGGCTGCGCCATCGCCGCACACGCGTAGAATAAAAAGCAAGGGACAAGTCCTTACTTATTACTAACAACTCCTATCTATCATTTTTAATTGCTGGAGGGGTTGCCCCTCCTACCTGAAAATCCTGGCTCCGCCATTGCTTTACCCCACCACACAAGAGCTGCCGATTGACTGCGGTGCATCCATTAATATTGCTTGGCGGACAGACATGGGGGAATTTAAGACACTTGCTTATTGTTTTAACTGCCCCTTCAGGAGATAGGAACTGGTGATATGTGAATTCCAAGTCTAGTGTGCTAACCATCACACCACTGGAACTAACTGGTAGAGGTTATACTAATTCATGCTGTGGTCCATGATGAAATATATCTGTGAAGGTTTGGCTGTAAATAAAGGGAGGGTGTGGTGACAGGGAGATGTGTGTACCAGCACGGTGTGCGACGGCACAAGCTCCCCAAGCTTCTCAGCCAGGTCGGGCGCACATGCATCCAGGCAGCGCTGGGTCCAGCACTTCTTTCGAATGTCCAAAAGATTCATCCCCGAGCCTGCCAGCCCACACACACACACAGGTGCCCCACATGTGTCGTCAGCTACTGCTGTGTGTGCTACTGTAGCTTGCCAGTCAGGAGGAAGGCACGCTTAGCTAGGTGCAGTGCGAAAGAAGTTCAACATCATACGTGCATACGTACATTGCAAGCAACAGGACAAGCAAGCAGCCAGTGTATCCCCATGAGGCACAACACCTTACGGGTAACATTTGTAGAATGGTGGACTCTTAAGTGCCTCTATTAAAAATCTTTATGAAACGAATATGCGCAAGCGTGTTAGCGAACATCCGGTGAAATCACTCACAATGTGGTTGCGTAATTAGGTAATGGTGATAGAGTAACTGTATGGTAGGTGGTTATGAAAATGGAAACATTCTGTGGGATACTTCAGTGGCCAGCTAAAAAAGGAGGCTAGATTTAAATCAATGGGGTTCAACTGAATTACTCAATACTCTTCACTGCCCTCCTCTGTTTTGTCGAACAATTAACAGCCAAATTAACAGACATTAAAGGAAATCAAGTGACACACGTTCAGCATGCAAATGGTAAAACAAATTCTGCTATAAACAACATATTTTCACACATCTGTCTCGGCACATCCTGGATCTTTGGCAAGGAAAAAATAGCGATACAACCGAAAACGAATAAAGTACTGAATGTGTGTTACTCATTCATCCCAAGGCAACCTACAGCACAAGAATAATTCATATTTCCTTAAATACTGTATCCCCAGGGTTTGGAAGACAATATGTACATTTTAACATCTATTGGACACTCATATTACACTTGGATAATGTATTTTATCTGCAGGGTGCAGTTGTTGATGGATTAAATGTAACATCATTTGCACCACTAACCCAACCCCCTTACCAGTTTATTCATTTTAAAACACATACTGTATATTAGGAATGTAAATACTCATACATTATATCATATTTGATAACCCCCCCCCCCACTCATTTTATCCTCATACTATGTGTTTATTAAAAGAGAAAGGCCAACCCTGTAATATAAAAAAACGGCTTTGTAATTAAGGACGCATACGACCCGTAACGTCGGGCAGTACTATCTTGTTTAGTGTCGAGAGTGTACCATGCGTCATAAACGCGAATTGAGGAAATGATAACAATGTATATCTATTTCAACAGGTATGGGCCATGTATTGAATTGTAACAAGTACTTTTTTTACTATTTATGTGTACGTTGTGCAAAGTAGGCCTGTAAATGATTCAATAAACTGTCGTGCTTTCATCGTTCAAAATTTGATTCAAGAGTGGTATTTATTTGAAGCATCATGGTGTGCTATATGGCTTCTAAGTCTCGCAGGGGTCAAGTGAAAGAATGACAAACAACATATACAGATTTAAAACAATTTAATCTGCAACGCATGATCTGTTGTACATATATCACGTGATAATTGTTTTCAACATATAAATCTATGCAGAGTACATAATATGCAAACGCTAATGCAGCGAATGAGATATTTACAAAAAAATACAACTTATGAGGCAATATAAATCATATTAAATGTAAGTGCTTTCTTAATTTAATCACAATTGTGAAAATGCATGGAATCCGTAGGCATGGTGAAACATGACATGCTAGCTGTCCACAGCGTTGATTCTGATTGTCTTTAGTTTTTGTACGATCACCATTTCATGGCAAATTGAGATGCCTATTGCAGACAATGTAATTGTAACAGTGTTATTTCTATAAAATGCCTTCAACAAAATCAGGCCCTGTTTCCCTGGCTCTACGCTCATCAACCGGGATTTCATGGGCGTTGGTGAATGCCTATCATCAGGTGGGCAAAAACTCAATCAACTATAATTGCATAAACGATGAAGCAATATTCTGTCTGATTTAGGATGTGATCATGAATACTATATATTTGGCCTGGTGGCACCATTGCTAAAGTGAGCTTGACTTACAATTAAAAATTCAAGTCGAGGCTACAGACCAATTCTTTTCTCTTCTGCATATGACTTCCAGTATCTCCTCTAGGAAATTGTTTTCCATCACATCCTACCATACCTTCAACTTTATTTTCTGTCTAATTCCGCCCCCCAAACCGCATCTCCTAATTTATTTATATATATTTTCCCTTGGTTCCCCTTCTCTGCATGTCTCTCCCATGTGTAGAGATGTGGTCACATTTAGACGTTATATAAATGCAAATTGTCAAATTGCATGCATGCAGGCATCTAAAAATATGTTTTATTTGGCCTCACATACACATACGGTTAAAGGAACAATCGCAAGTCTTGAGCACAATTTAGGTACCCGTCAATATCTCGATAAGCATGGCTGCAGAGGCTATAAAAGCAATGTTTAAGGCAGAGAGATATCGTTTCAATAATGTCGTGTGAATGGGAGCTATAGCACATTTACAATGGATACTCAATCTCTCCGAAACTTTTTGTGTCCAAGGTGGTAAAAGGGTATGGCTGTTAGCACTGTTTCCATATTACTTAACCATTGTCAGAAGCCAAAAGTCAAAGACTTCCTTGATCTCTGTTGGTGGATCTAAGCCAGTCATGGACACATCATAATCCAAGAGCAGGGCCAGTCTTTGCCTGGCAACCACTGCCAGTCTCTATTGGTGCTCATGTTATTGATGGCAGAGCAGATGACAGGCTGAGTTGACCACCGAGGATTTGACCTTGCAATTGAACGTACGAGTCGAGTGATATAACTAAAGCTCCTGATCAAATATATTGACTAGACATGTCACAACGCATCTATTTATCAATTAAATGTATTCACAAAACAGTTAATGACAAGCATCAAACATACTGTTTGGTTCTTTCGGTAAAGGCATGCATCAAACAATGCACGGACAGTGAGAGGACACAACTTTAATAAATGTAGCGATTTTTTTTTTAAATATACAGAGCAGATGGAATCAAATTGCAACCCGATTTGTGTGATTCATTGAATGCCATGGGGGTAGGTAAGGCTGAGTAGGAGTGGGGGGGGGGGTGACTCATGGTATGCCGAATATTAACAAATAAACCAAAAAATTCCCCAAATGTGTGGTTTTTGAATGCGTGGCTCACACCAACCACTCTATGAACAGGAAGTTACGTGGTTCAATCTGTGTGAATAAAAAAATCCCACTACAAAATGTATACTTGTTTGCTCACCTTTCATGCTTAATTTTTTCTGTTATACCATTAATAAATATTCACATTCGTTGCGCACAGAAGTGCTTGTACAGATGCGCAGCTCACAAAGTAATGCTACAAAGTATAACTCGCCAGACTATTTCTGCTCTGTCTTGTATATCCCATGGTTTTAAAGTTACTTAAGTGCATCTTCTTCTGCGTGTGTGAGTTGCACCTTCACGATTTCATTACAACAATAACTCCAGCAGGGCAAACCCTTATGATCACATGTCATTTTATGGCACCAAACAAGACCAAGAATTGCTTGAAAAATACAAAGGTATGCGGCTTTGGCTCAAAAGCACTTGACATGCGGTCAGGCAATGATTTCTTTCATAATTCAGGCCCACTCTGGCCAATTTGATTAATGCTTGGCCAGGGCTCATATTCCTCGTGAGGCCAACAATAAAACAAAATAAAGCACTTATGTGCCCTTACAAAACTCTATTCTTTAAGAAGTGTTACATAGTGTAATAAAATGGCAATTTTAATGGAATTATTACAGGGGAAAAAAATCTCTGGCAGGGACTAAATTTTTTCCTTTGTTGATTTGTATTGGCATATGAGTGAATAATAGAGGAGAGGATAGAGGGGGCAGCAGTATAGGGCACACACTGACGTACAAGTGCACATGTTGGGTCACAAGGACACACACCGATGTATAAGGACACAGTGGGGAATAAAGGCACATATCTCATATCTGCTCACAAGGGAGCTTGCATGGCATATGGGCACGTTTTGACGATAGATCATTTCATGAGGACAAATATTGAATGGAAGAGCAGATATTTGTTCAATTGGCACCGTGGGTTTAAGGACAAGCATGGGCTCATCAGGGCATACATTTTGTATCAGGGCATGTCTGCGCATAATGGCACATCTCAATTGAATATAACAAGGTGCGATCCCATTGAGATTCACTACCTCTTTTGCAAGACGGCTCTGGCTTGTTGTGGGTATTTTTGAAGTGTTGTATATTGGTTGACATTTGAGCACAATAATTTACTAACACGAGCTTTTTTTTTACTACTTTATAATGGACTGTGTGCTCCAGCAGATGACAGAAAACATATATGACTGGACAGCTTTTGTAATGAAACCAGCCTGGATAACGGCAAAGCTATCCAGACTGTAAGCCCCCAATGCCTGCACAAAAGGTCAATTGTTGTGTAGAGAGGGACAAAGACGGATGTGAACTGACAATGCAATCAGGTAATTTCGCAAGAGGGAGGAAAATGAATCATTCATTCATTCATTTAATTCATCAATGCATCATCAGTGAACTTAATATCGAGCCAGGTAAGTGCCCATTGAGAAAAACAAGGTCCATTTTGCTTGGCAATGCACTCACCATCACTATAGTCAATCGTTGCATAGTTGCCGAGGAAAAGGGACGCAGCAAAGCTGCTCACCAGTGAGATCCGCTGCAGGTTCAACAGAAAGGAAAGGCACGTGAGTTACCACAATACATGCGTGTGGCTTCTCCACAGTGCAAGGCATGGATTGGGCTTGAAGAGTTGGTATGTGCAGAGGTCAAGAGCCCAGGCCCCCAGCCAAAGCATTATCTGCCCCAGCAAGCACAGCAAATGAGTGATAATGTCCTCTGACCTTAACCATGTGATAAGCTGCTGGGATAAAAAAAAAAAATGAACACTTGCGTGAGTGTGCGCGTGTGTGTTTTATAAATATGGCGGATTCTGAACAATCCAGTCCACTATGCGAGTCTTCGCATGATGGACTGGAATTATCCAGCAATTCTGGGTAAAGCAATTTAAAATGTCTGTGATAATATGAAATCCAGTTTTTGCATAAGTCAATAATTATACGGCAATGTAGAGTTATACAGGCATATAACCTTTTTTAAAAGTCAGTCAAACAAGTAATGGGGCAGCACTCTTCTCCATTGGCAACCTGGGCCAGTGGTATAAATTGAAAATGTTGTGGTGGGAACAAGTTTCTGCATAGGATGACTATTGTTGACTTACCACAAATTGGAATTTATTTTACCAACCGCATACGTATGAATGGCTAAGTAGACCATCAGTCTTCCATATTAGTTTAATGCCCTACGAAAGGTCCAACCAGAACCACATAGAGAGTATGTGTCCTTTAGCCGACTGCATTCCGTTATCGAAACATCTGACCCACTACGTTGAGTGACGCTCATCAGACACTGCCACGCAGGGACATCGGTCAAAGATTGTGACCTCGTTCATCACAGCTTGTCCGGAGCCCCCAAACCTTCTTTCCCAAAGAGCATTAGCCATCAAAATCTGAGTGAGGTTGAGAAGGGTTAATGGAGTGGGTATGAGGTGTGCACAGGAGGAGAGAGGAACTCTGTGGATGTGAGGTGGAATGGCGGAGGGGGGGGGTCGGCAGGGAGTGCTCTTGGTAAAGGGTAAAGCATTCTGCACGTCCTTGTAATAAAGGTTTTGAAATGCTGCACGGCCCAATCACTCGTGACAATCGTGTGACAACGGTTAGGTTTCCAGCTGGCCAAGAAGCCTTTGTGTTTTGCGTTTAGATTGCACTTTGATAGCATCAAAGCCACAGTGAGTAGGAGCTCAGGGTCATCTATGAAAAGATGACAAATGGTCTCCCCCACCCGGTGGGTAGTCATGCTGCTGCCTCACACTGTAATGTCATTTTAAAGGCTTAAACATAAAAATAAACACGTGTAAAACAGCGGTCCCTCCTTATTTCACAGTCTGCCATTTCGATAATGTTATTTTAGAGGCCCCCATGGCGTGTCCGTCAAGTGGGTTGTTCAACCATTCTTCATCACACCAGTTACTGTGGCCTGATAAACGGGGGCGGGCGTATGAGGAGCAGGCCCAGTCCACTGATGTTGGACATGGGTGGGAATTCAACTCAGGTAGACGGGTGCAGAGTGCAGCATGCTAACAACCACTGTCACACTGACCACCCCCCTCTGGCATTTTGATGTGTATAAAACGTGATTGTCAATCAATTAGACAGGCTATTGATTATTATGACAGTTAACAAGTTGAGCTGTTGTTCACTCATTCAAAAAAACTGCAAATAGATACTGCCTGTTAATTTTGATAGATCTTGCCAAGTGCCACAGTGAATTTCTAGCCCCACAAATGGATGTTTACGAGTTAAAACCCTCATCGAAGGGCGACTTAGCCCAACGTCTCTCCATGTTGGCTAAACGAGTGACACTGTGTGGGAAATCAACAGAGGTCATCCGATAATAAGATTGGCTCTTGCCATAAGAATGTGGAAAATTCACCAGCGGCTGAAGAAAAAAGTCTTGCATTGAAATTGTTACATGTCCACTGAAAAATTTGATTTTGGACATTATTACAGGTCAGCTGTGGATGTTACTATATATTCCCTGGGCAGGGCTAGTCGGCACAGAATGAGCATCCACTGGTGTGCACATCATGCCGTACACATATGCACGCATGCCGCGGACGTTTTGGACGTGAAGAGCTGCATAGCTTTTGGACCCGAAGACCGACTGATTAAACTCGCATCACGCAATCGCAATCGCAAGTTGACTCTGAAGCGCGATTTAAATGATTCCGAGGTGCCATTTAAACGGCATCTCGGGGCACCCGTGATTGGCGTGATTGGCGTGCCGGCCTGACACAGCTCCTCCCGGCACTCACCTCTGTGTCCTCGTATGCCCTGGGCCAAGTGCGGTAAACCTTGGCGATCTGGTTGCCCGTGAATCGCTGAGGGAACAGAATGCGCGTTCCACGCGTCAAGGACAAACGAGCAACATGTCGTTGAATGCGAGGCATTTAGTTATTTATTTCACCAAACCCACTCCCTCCCTCCCCCCCGCCCACACACAATCCCTTCCCACTCCACTATTATGACCTTGCAAGCATAACACACACAAATGCATCTTTGCCCTGTGCTGCATACGAGCGATAGAGCTGCATAGTCGGGTTATAGAGAGCGGCTGAACGCTGAATACACGCTTTAATGTAGCTATATAGAGCTAGATATAAAAGGCAGTCGCGTCCATTCATACGCCTGTAGGTCCAGGTTATATTTCTAAGTGGGTCAAATCCAATCTGTAAATGACAAAAAACCCCATCATGACAGAACAACATTTGTAGGCCACAATACCATGAGTTTCGATTTAAAGCTTTCGTGACTGCAGGGATTCATCGTCTTGGTTCTTTCGGTAAAGTCACGTAGAAATGGAGATAAAATAAAAACTAAAACATGATAAAATAGAATAAAAATTCTCACGACGTTTCACCTCTAGCGCTGTCTTCTGGACAGTCCTGTTTCTTCACCTGAAGAAGGCTACTTGTGTTGTGGCCGAAACGTCGTGAGAATTTTTTATTTTATTTCATTATGTTTTATTTTTTATTATTTTTCTCTCCATTATACGTGACTTTACCGAAAGAACCAAGAAGATGAATACCATGAGTCTCAAGCATTGAGTCTCTGTGCAGACTCAAATGCTGAAAAAAAAATGTTCTGCAAGACTATATTGTAAAACATTACTCAAAGTTAATGTTGTGTTGAGGTTAATGTGAATGCTGTATATGGAGTGTTAACGTTGTTGTGTGAACAGTTTATGCATTTTCAAATTATTTCCATATTGTGCTTGAATTCAATTTAATTAGGCATATTTGCTAAATGTTTGGATTGAGTTTATAATCAAATACAGTAGCTGCTGGATTGCCGATTTATGATGTTATCTGTACACTTTATATAAGATATTGCTTCAGGGAATCTGAGTGTCAGGTGACATTAGACACTCTCATGCTCCATCTGCAAGAGAAGGCCAAGACGTGTTAGCATGATATTCCAAACTGCGAAATAGAATATAACTGCCACACAAACTTACTCAATAAAAAATATTAAATATAACAACATAACTGTCGATATCCATGTGCAGTGACATAAAATTGGTCACGTAGTAGCACAGCGCTAGCTGCTGGCAGGGAAGGGGATCTGCAGCTTATAGCAGCCCTGACTGACAGCAGGGCACGTGATAGACCAGAGAGGGATGTAGGGGAAAGGTTACGGAAGGGGCACATTGAAAAACCCACTAGTAGGTTCCAGAAGGGGGGCGTGGCCGGGGCGGAGCCAGGCCACGCTGACAGCATAAGAGGGGCCCCGGGAGGGGACCTCGGGGCTGTCGTTTGGAATGGGATCCCCGTCGTCGTCGTTGCTGTTGAAGATCGTCGCCATTGTCGCTGTCGTCTTCACCTGATATTGCGCTGCTAGACGGCAGTTGGCTGTCTCGGTTCAGCGCCGTCAGTGTCAGACGGCTACCGTTGTGTATAGGCTAGCAACTTACTTGAGTTGCGTATAAACGAGGGAGAGAGAGAAGAGTGTGTACCAGCGTAGGGTGTGTATTGTGCAAAGGGTGCTCGATTTAATCAAAGAATTGCCTCCAAGAACTTGCGTCTCCAAGTCAGCCACGACACATGTAACCCATTTGGAAAAGTTAATGCATTTCAACGGCATGAACATTAGTTGAGTGACAAATGACTGATTGCAATGAAAGAAAATATTTATCCCCAAAATGAAAGGATAATATTTGAATAGTTCATCGCAATAATTTCAGTTCATTCAAAGGACTGTTTGTATCATATAAGCACCACAAAACATCAATGATTTTCGCTAAATTTATACTCAATGCCATGACATACTTATCACTGGCCTTGCAGGTATAATGAAGAATTTCTTCACATATGCATCCAAACAATGGAACAGGAAGGAAATAATGAGTATAAAGTTCAATTAATTACATTGCTTACATTGTTTACATTGCCTACATACAAAATGCAATAATTGACTTTACAAGTAGGTCAAGTAGTCAGCACGTGTAAAGGTCAACACAATCTTTTACTAGTTCATCGTAATCATTTCAGTTCAGAGGACTGTGTGTATCATTTAAGCACCACAAAACATCAATGGTTTTCGCTAAATTTATACTCAATGCCATGACATACTTTATCGCTGGCCTTGCAGGTATAATGAAGAATTGCTCCACATATGCATCCAAACAATGGAACAGGAAGGAAATAATGAGTATATAATTAAAGTAATTACATTGCTTACATTGTTTACATTGCCTACATACAAAATGCAATAATTTCCTTTACAAGTAGGTCAAGTAGTCAGCACGTGTAAAGGTCAACACATTCAGGAATAAGACCGGGGCCTTAAAAAGTAAAAAAAATGCCATTTTTCTGACAATGACCCTTGTTTATAGCGCGCAGAGGCTGGAGAGACAGAATGGACAAGAGTTTGCAGGCTGCACTTTACAGCAATGGGCATGATGAAAATGACACTTTAAACATGTTTCCTGATGAAAAGTTTAAAAATTGCCTTGTGAACATTTACCTAACCAGACAATCCTTTCAATAACCACAAATGTGTTATACGTATGGTTTTGGTGATCTGTGCCTAACGCCTGACACAGTACGCCGTGTGTAACGCTGGGTAGTCTACCTGGATTTTCATGCAAACATTTTTGTTTTTCATGAAAGGCTTATTCAATTTTTTTTTTACTAATTATTAGTTTGTTACAAAAATAATAAATTTTCTCCAAAAATATACCAGCGCAGCTTTTGATAAAAGCCAAGTGCGCACCGGTTTTTGTCAATTATCTTTGCGTTTTGCGCACCATTAGTTCATTTTTTTAGACACCGAATATAAATTTAAATAAGCAGAATCACTTTTTATTTGTTTACATTTGCCTCCCCTTCCCATCCATAATAAATAGTAACTTTCTTCGAATTCACATCAATTCAGAATCCAGTAAGTTATTGTAACCGAGCGCAAATTCATTTTGGTAAAAGCAACCTTCCGCTCACATTTTTTTGCGAAAATTAATTAACACTGACCTGTCCTTCCGGTTTATGAAGCTATATTTTTTGTATTCACATCAATACTAAATCAAGTAAGTTGATACTTAAATTACATTTCAGAATCCAATCGTGGAGATGTTCTTCATTCCCAGAATTGATCTAGCACCATCTTATGTGAATTTTGCATTTATTTGTAAGCGAAGACAGTTTCCAACCATTCCTGCATTTGCTATCACTGTCAATAAGTCACAAGGACAAACTTCTGAGTTTGTTGGATTTTATCTCAACGAACCTGTTTTTTTCCCATGGACAACTTGATGTTACTTTGTCAAGATGAAAAAATGCAACCAACATCAAAGTGCTGATTCAAAAACATTAATCTCAAGGAAAACTTTTGGGAGATGATCATCAATTTACACCAAATGTGATATAGAAAAGTTTGATTCAATAAATTCAATACAATAAATACATTTTAGTTTTTTTCATTAAATATTTTTTTTTACGGTGGGCAGTTGCACTAGTTAGTAAATTAACTAATTTGTACTAAAAGTAAAGTGAAAAATGCTTTGCAAACATTGTATTATGGGTAGAACTGCACCCAATTCAGCATCATCGGGCGATTTGCCAGAATCGCCCAATGATGCCAGAATCACCCGATGATGCTGGATGTAATTACCAACGAAACATCATACTCAAATTGTAAATGTTGTGGATTCACTCTTCAACACACCGGTGGGCTGAAGTAGTAACTATCTGTCTTTTTGTTTACGTGACAAATCCCTTACTGATTGGCCTTGTCGGGTGGTGGAGGGTTTCGACACATTTATACTTATGTGATCTAACCCAAAAACCTTTATTACGAATGTCTACACTAATTAATTTGCGTGTGATACCACCGACACGGCTTGGGTTTTGCAGTGGAAAAGCAATCCGGCGCATCCTGAGCCACGCCGAGCTGGATTGGTATGGCCCCGGTGCAGCTCGGTTTCATAGTGTAAAAAAAAAAAGGTGAGATAAGCGGACCCATTACAGCCAGGCCAATCTCAGACACAGTGGTGATATTATAAGGTGATGTGGCAGCACGATGCTATTCACCTAAACAATGGACAATGGCTTTAAATAAAAATGATAATAACAGGGTGCCTTTACTGCCAACTGAGAGGAAATAGAGACCTCATCGTTTTGACTGACTGGCTTTTAGTGAATATTTAGGATTATAGCTGAAAACGATAGGTGGACAGATGGAGTTGGGTTGATGCTGTGGACATGCCACCAATCAGAAGGATGTAGTGAGTAGTTTCTGCCATATCAGTCTCACTGAAATACAATGAATTATTATAGTTTGAATTATTTTCAAGTTATTTCAGAAGTTAATATTATGCAGTTCATGTAAAGCATTTTTTTTTATTAAGGTAGATGATTTGGAAACATTATTTTATTTGTACATCCAATGTTTTTAAAACAACTTTGAAACTCATAATAAAGTTTTTTGGGTTAGATTGCGTTATTTATAAATGTGTCGCAACCCTCCACCACCCGACACGGCCAATCAGTAAAGACAAATAATCTTTGGTTCTTTCGGTAAAGTCACTTAGATAGAAAATTAATAGATCACGACATTTCGATCGCAACACAAGCAATCGTCATCAGGTGAGACAAACACAGCAGGAGAACTGCGGAGGCAATAACCGCCCCCCCTTTCCGCCTCTGATCTCTGCACCAGATTGGGTTAAATCATGACATCACCCTGCTGCTCTATTTAAGAACGGGAGCAGGTGGAGGGCTTCACTATTCTGGCAAATTGCCCGATGATGCTGGATGCAATTACCAGCAAAACGTCGTACTAAAATGTTGTGGATTCACTCTTCAACACACCGGTGGGCTAAAGT